TCCGTCTCTCTGCACGTCTCTGCCCAGACACCTACAGAGCCAGTGCTAACTACCCTCATCTCTCCGTTCTGCTGCTCCCTCTCCTGGGTCTCTGTCCCAGACCTTATCTTGCATTTCCCCAGCGTGGCGCTAGGGAGGGACACCGACCTCTGCCCTTCCTTCCCAAGGCTGCAGGCAGGCCAACCCTCAGGGGCTACACCACCATTCTTTACCAGAACCCAGAAACTTGTCAGAAAAACACTTTGCCAACGGCTGGGCGGGAACATAGTTTTGAAGTCCAGTGATCCCTGGGAGCACAAAACCTCCCGTGCCTCCCTGCCTCTGGTCTGTGAGGCGCACACAGGAGCAAGAGTTTTCTGCTTTCTGTCTTTTAAAGTAGCCAGCGGGGAGGAGACAGGAAGGAGAAGGGTCACGGTTCGGGGGTACCCGAAGAACTCCTGAGGCAGGAACATCAGCGTTCCTTTCGCCCCGTTCCCCGTCCCTGTCTCTGGATCCCCGTAAATAAAGCTGGCATCTGCCTGGCGGCACAAAACATCCGCCAACTATTTTAACCCTTCAGCACACAGTTCTCGTGCTGCATCTGCTGGTATGGCGATGTCTGTGTGTGTTTCTTTTCCTTGCTCATCTGGACTCCGGAGGGCAGGTGTGGGATCTTGTCTGTTACCTCGAATGCTCCTTTACAGGGTACCACACACGAGAGGTTCAGGAAGATCTGTTCCAGAGCTTTGCTGCTGGGGATCTTCCCTCCTTTCTCTCTTCCTTATGATATTCCGCATCTCTTCTTCCTCCTCCTCCTCCTCCTCCTCCAGCCTTCTCCTCCTTCCCTCTCTCTTCTCTGTCTCTCACGCTGTCTCTCTCCCTCTCTCCCTCTCTCTCTCTCTCACGCACACACACATACACGCAAAGTATATTTAACCTGAAAAAATTTCCCAATGATCACTTACATTTGCATTGTTTTCTTTTTCCTTTGCAAAGCATTTCCACCCATATTATGTGCTTATCTTTAATTATTACAACCCCACTGAAAGGCAAGTATTTTTGTGCCACCTTTGACAGGTGAAAAAAGACTCCAGTGTGGCCAGTGAGAGAGCTTAGAATAAAAACAGGTCAATCATTCATAGATCTAGTTAATGAATATTTATTGCATACTACATTGTACTAGGAATTACACCAGACACTGGGAACACAATGATGAATAAAATAGACACCATCTTTGTCTTCGTGGCACTTACAGTCTACTAAAGAAGACAGACATTGAACAAATAAGTACAATAATGTGCAGGGTGTGTAATTAAAAAGAAAACATAGGTAGTCTGGAAACATGGAGTAGATGGACTTTAACCTTGCCCACGGATCAGCATCCCCACAATTACACACACAACCAACGTATGACCGTTAGGCTGAGACCAACAAATGAATAGAAGTTACAAAGATGGAAGGGAGAGTGCAAGGAGGTAGAAAGCTCTAGAGACTGTGAAGGCCAAGAAGAAGAAGAACTCAGCCTTATCCAGGAACTGATAGAAATCCAGCTTGGTGAAATAGAGCCTGAGAGAAGAGAGGTGTGAGGAGGCTGGAGGGTTGCCCAGGGTTGGCTTATGGAAGGCTTCCAGAAGGACCATACTTAGGTGTAGGACTTGCATCTTACAAAGATCATTCTGGCCATAGTGTGGGTGATGGATTGAAGAAGACCGAGACTACATACAAACAGAGCAGTTAGGAACCTCCTTCTGTGCAGTAGGGTCCCGAGAGGCAGGGACAACTGGAAGGTTTTATATTGGTATGGAATAATCTTCAAATTGTATTAAGTGAAAAAAGCAAAAACTTTTTTCTAATAAACTGTGCCATTATATGTCTTTTTAAGAGGAATATGTACATACATATGCTTGGATATACAGAGTATTCTTGGAAAGATAAATACACTTTTATTAGTGAATGTCCCTGGAAAGAACAACAAAGGGGCCAGCACAGAAGTAGGAAAGCTTTTTGTCTCTGTATTTCTTGCGTGCTCTTTGAATTTTGTGCTATGTGTTACATTATCTAACCAAAATTAATTCTTTTCAAAGCAGATGTTTTCGGGAACAGAATCCACAAGATTTGAGATTTACTGGATTTAAGAGTCAACAGAAACGTGTTGAAGACGACACCCAGGTTCTAGCTTAGGCAACTTTGCCTATTATTTGGTCAGGAACTCTGGTGGAGGAGCAGGTTTGGTGAGGAAAAAAAGCTGTTCAGTTTTCAGTTTGGGACATGTTGAGTTTGAGGTGTCTGTAAAATATCCAGGTTCAGCTGTCTGATAGATAGGCATCCAAGCTGTTCACGCCTGGAGCTCAGGAGACAGATGTGAACCGAAGATAGGGAATGGGGAGTCATGAACATGTGCATGTTAATACAATCTACAGAAGCAGGTGAGACTGCCCAGGTGGTGAGGAAAACAGAGAGGCTTGTGGACCGAAAATATTTAAGAGATTTGTAGAAGAGAAGCAGTCAGCGTGACAAGAGTGTATGGCACTGACATGCTGAGAGATAGCGAGTGGTCGACTGTAGTCTGAAGGCTACCGACAGTTCAAGCAAGACTGAGACTGTTCAGTGGGCTTAGCCAAAGGTAGATAACCTCCCTCATAGATGTCAGTAGCATGGAGAGGCAAGGTCAAATCACAATGGGTTGAGGACTCAGCATGAGATCAATAGACAATAAAGTCTTCTCTAAGAAGTTTGGCCCTGAATAGGGAGTAGAAAAGATAGGGCAGTAGCTGAAAGGAGGAAGGGTTGAGGGAGGGTGTTTTCCATTTCTCTGGAGATGGGAAAGAATAGAGCATCGTTATTTGCTGATCCCCGGAACTAGTGGAGAGGGAGGAGAAGAGATATACAAATGAGAAGTATAGAGAGAACAGTGATGGATATGGCTGTCTGAAGAGACAGAAAGGAAACGGAATCTGGGACTCAGATGGGAATTTAGCTTTACACAAAAGAGGAAGTGCTTCCATTGTAAGGAAAATAAGAAGAGTCATGATGACTAAGCACTTTTAGAAATCATGCCACTGGTGGTCAAGTGTGTAGGACCCTGTGCCTCTACCTTCGTGTGATTCCTCCCCGTTCCACACTCATCTATGCTTTGTATGAGTATCTGGATGAACCTGCCTGTGGTTTCACAAATCCGACTTACCTCTTTGCTATTCCAGACCACAGTCCTCTTAAAAGTTATTATGGCTTTTGGGTGAGGGTGATATTAGGGTTGAGGTGAGACGTAAAAGACTGGAGACAAGAGGGAGGTTGTCAAGAGCCTGGTACTGGGTGCCCTGGACACCTAGCTCCCACTTTCCTCCCTGGAGAGGGATGGCCCATCCTGCTTTGTTGCTGTCCATCCCAAAACTCAGCACAGGGGAAAAGGGAGGTGGGAGCAAAAGATGGCTGCTGCAGGAGACACAGCCACAAATCTGCTACCCCCAGGCACAAGGGTGATTAGCTGCTAATGAGCCACCTGAGGGACAGACCGGGAAGAGTCCCATAAAGAAATGATTGAGCTGTTCAAGCACAAAAGGCATAATTTACCACTTATTTAAACATACATGTAGACACAAATGAGATAAAAACCTTTTAGACTCTGAGTCTCAAAAAGCAAGGATAAGACAATTCAAAAACAACAAAAAAGAAACAGAATCCAAAATACAGATGAAGGATTTGATAGATATTTCTCCAAATACAAATGGCCAATAAGCATATGAAAAGATGTTCATTGTCATTAGTCATTGGGGAAATACAAATCAAAACCACAATGAGATATCACTTCATATCCATTAGGATGGCTATTATCAAAAAGAAGGAGAAGGAGAAAACAAGAAAGAAAGAAAGAAAGAAAGAAAGAAAGAAAGAAAGAAAGAAAGAAAGAAAGAAAGACAACAAAGTGTGGCAGTTCCTCAAAAAATTAAATAATAATTGCCATAAGTCCAAGCCATTCCACAGCTAAGGATATACCCGAAGAAATCGAAAGCAAGAACTTGAAGAGAATTATATGCCAATGTTCATAGCAGTATTACTCATAATAGCCAAAAGGTGGAAACAATCCTAATACGCATCAGTGGATGAATGGATAAATAAAATGTGATATATCCATACAATGAAATATTATTTGACCCTTAAAAGGAATAAAATTCTGATGCCTGCTACAACACAGATGAATCTTGAAACTATTATGCTAAGTGAAATAAGCCAGACACAATAGGATTAATATTGAATGATTCCACCTGTATGAGGTACCTAGAGTAGTCAAATTCATAGACTTGGAGTGGAATATTGGTTATGAGGTACTGTGTGGAGGGGACAGTGGGGAGTTAATGTTTAATGAGTACCAGAGTTTTAGTTTGAGATGATGAGAGCATCCTGTGGATGAATAGTAGTTATCATTATGCAACAGTGTAAATGTACCTAATGCCACTGAATTGTATACCTACATATGGTTAAGACAGTAAATTTATGTGATGTGTATCTTCCCACAATAAAATTTCTGAAAAATAAAGCAAGGATAAAGAACCTTTCTTATTGCAGTTTTCTAGTTGGGGGTTGGTTGCGGGGTGAGAGAGAGTCCTACAGGGGAAAAGGGAAGGGCCATAAATTCAGTGCCATGCCTGGATCTTCCCACATTAAGCCTTGTGGAACCAAGCAGGCTTCACAGCTCACTACTTTTTAGTGCCTGCATGAGGCAGAAAGAAAGATGATCCAGATGTTAGTCTAGCATCCCTAGTTCATGTCTTTGATGGCTAAATCCAACTTTGCTCTAAGAGACACCTTCTTTTCTCAAGATGTGGGACTTTCAGGAAACCGGAAGATATGTGGGACAACAGACGTCCATTGCCCATCTCCAGAAATGCTGATGTGAAGGATGAGACATGACCTTTAAGAATTATTCTGCCTATCTCCTCTCATGATTAACAGGCAAAACAATCAGATACCTCCCTCCATTTAGGCCCACCTGTTTTTCAGGCCTATAGAAACAGGGGTCCTCATCATAAATGATAGATATTTTCCTCTCCATCTCCCTCGCCAAGGTCCAGCCCAAGATTCACGTGTCCTAATGTGTTGCGACGCAGGATCTCCCAGCCCCGGTGGCTGCTGCTGCTGTGAGATGTGGTCCGGGATAGGGAAGGCGTTGGAGGGGCCAGAGAGGCTCTGGCTGGGGTCCCACTTTCGATCACAGAAACAGAGGGCTGTTTCTCAGAAAGCTGCTCTTGTCCATCCTCTTTGTCTGAGCCCTTGAAAGCTTCCACGTAGCGAAGCACTCGCAAAGGATTTTGATCATGGTGGTTCTCAACTCTGAGGAGGGCAAAGGGGAAGGAACTCAGGTGAGGTGAAGGAACAAGGGCCATGAGGAGAAGGAGAGGGGGGAAGAGCACTTGTAGGAAACAGGACCAAGAGGACAGGGCAAGGAAGGGACCAGAGTCCTAGGATGAAATGAAGGGAAGAGCAGTGGAATGGAGGGTAAAGTGGGATAGAGACCAAAGAGGTAAGCAATCAGGATTTGGAGGGTAGTGGTGTGTGTGTGTGTGTGTGTGTGTGTGTGTGTGTGTGTGTGTGGTTGTGAATATGAAAGAGAAAACCAAGAGAGAAGAAAAGCCAAGTCAGGAGCCGAAGGTAGAGTATGGAGAAGGTTAGGTTCAAGGCAAGAATTTACTAGAAATGGGGGTCAGATAGGAACAAGACTAGAACAAGTTGGGTAGCCCATGCCCACATCTGAGCATGGACACGTATATAACCTCACACACATTACTACCCTGATGTACTCACAGCCTGGCATCAGTTATCAGCCATCTTGTCGCTCTCCCTGTTGGCTCCACCCCCCTCCCCTAAACAGGCTAATGCAGTCTCACTTTATGGAGTGATGATGTCTCCTTTGGGTCCAGTTGGAGATCTCAGGAATGGAAATATGTGTGATAAATGTGAAACTGGGCACCCTACTCCCATGGCTTCATGCTTGTTAGCTGTTTATACATATGCACAGTCACTCACCGCAGGAACCAGCGGTCCCCCAGCCCATACTGGCACCCGCAGATCCCAGAGCGAGGCCACAGGAAGCGAGGCAGCTTCCGCTCCAGCATCACTGTGGTGGCCACCACCTGGGAGGAGTGAGAGGTAGAGGAAACTCAGGAAGAGTGATGAGGTCTCAGGGAACACTAGAAGCCACCAACATAGGGAACAAAGAGGAATCTGTCAGATGGGGACACCAGAAATTGGGGAGATGACAGCCATTGGGCCATGCCCTAGCTTGTGCCACGCATCATGCTACCTGCTTTACTCACTCATCATAAAAGGAGAGAGAATATTTTATGAGTGTTTTGAATAAAACTGTGACCCCTACATTACTATTGACATTCATAGAAAATGAGTCAGTCCAAACTAATCTCATTTGCTTTTTCATAGGAAAGCCAGACTAGTTATCTTGATTTAAATAAAATGATTAAATAGAATCTCTATGATTGTGGTATGAAATGATGCTGCTAGTGTTCAGGGAATTTGCAGCACATTAAATACCCATATCCTCCAAAGAAAAAGAGTGGGTTAATGACTGCAAACTTGGCAAGGAAAATTCTAGTGGCATGTCACATGTTCTGTCCTTTGCCCAGCCCTCATTAATTACTTAAATGAAACATAGAAGACAAGCTTATCAAATATGACTGTGACACAAAACTGGGAGGGATATGTGATAATGTGAGGTGACAAAGCAGTATAAAAATGATCTCACCAGACTGGAATGCTAGTCAAATACCAATAATGTGAAATTTAAGAGAACCAAATGTAAGGTACTACATTTATGTTTAAGAACAAAGTATCTGGGTAAGTACAGGAAGTGGTAAAGGGGCTTTACTAATTAAGTTGAATAACAAAGATGCATGGGTTCTAGTAGATCATGACCTTCATAAGGGCCAGATGTATATTTCTTTAAAGACCTGGCTCAATTTTTTTTAAGTTAGTTTCTTTCTTTCTTTCTTTCTTTCTTTCTTTCTTTCTTCCTTCCTTTCTTTCAAGAGTGGGGGAGGGGCAGGGAGGGGGTGGAGAAAATCCCAAACAGGTTCTTTACTCTCAGTGAAGAACCCAATGTGGGGCTTGAACCCACAAACCATGAGGTCATGACCTGAGCTGAAGTCAAGAGTTGGACACTTATATGACTGAGCCACCCAGGTGCCCCAAGACCTGGCTCAATTTGAGGTGCTATTTCTACTACAGTGTCCAAAGCAAGGGAAGGCATGACCCCTCTTTATATTGTATTCCTCCAATCCTATCAGGAACACTCTACTTTTGAAAGGACCATGATCTCTTAGGCATGAACAAGTGCAGAAAGCTTGGTTAGTTGAAGAAACTAGCAATTCTTAAAGTAGTCTAATTCCCCGTGTTTTATTTTTCTACTTGATTTCTTAGTTGGACCAAGTTCCCTCCAACATCAGGACTTTTTTTGTTGTTGAAAGTTTATCTTTTTTGAGAGAGAGAGAAAGAGAGCACATGAGCAGGGGAGGGACAGAGAGAGAGGAGAGAGAATCCCAAGCAGGCTTTGCACTGTCAGTGCAGAGCCCAATGCGGGGCTTGAATCCACAAACTGTGAGATTATGACCTGAGCCGAAATCAAGAGTCCAGCACTTAACCGACTGAGCCACCCAGGTGCCCCTAACCTCAGGACTTTTAATCATGTGTTACCTTTCCCTATATAGAAGCTCTCCTTTATCTTGAAAAGGACATTTATGTGTCCTTTTGTGCCATCAGTAGGCCCCCACCTTGTTCTGGTAATAGACCCCTTTTGCTTGGACCATTGTCACTTCACCACTCTGTCCATCAGTTAGGGTAGACTGGACTGCACCCCAGCTGATTAGCTGATTCTCCCCTAAACTCCACTACCACCATCACCACTCCTTGGTCTTAACCTCAAATTCAAGGATGCACCTATAGCTCAAACCTGTTGCAGTGAGATGGAACTTAGACTGGCTTCTTGGGGGGAAAGATGCTCTTTGAGGGGTTACACCTTGCACAGTATCAGAAGGCACAGCGAATGCAACAGATGGGGCCCTTGGAATTGTGCAATACAGTACACCTGCTCATTCCTTTGGGAATTTGGAGCTTCTAGAAGACATTTCACCAACGTGATGGGAGAGACTGACTTAGGAGAGCAGACTGGATAGGAGAGCAGAACAGAGAAACTGATGTAGTTACTGAAATGGAAATACACACTTTGGCCAGATATGCTTAAAGATAGTTTAGTTCTTTAAACTTTCCAGTTACAAAGACCAACACATCTTGCTTCCAATGCCATTTATTTCTTTTTCTTTTTCTTTCCTTTTCTTTTTCTTTTCTTTCTTTCTTTCTTTTTTTTTTTTTTTTTTTTTTTTTTTTTTTTTTTTTTAAGTATGTTTGCATTTGGTTCTCTGTCCCTATAGCCAAGAGTCCTGTCTGATATAAATCCTAACCTCTATCCTTTTCTGTCATTCTCCTTAACTGGATAATTCTTACCCATGTTTAGGAGTTCATCTTAAATGTCACTCCATCAGGAAAGCATTCCATAACTTTGCAATCAGACTCCTCTGTTGTGTCCTGTTCTTAGCATCTTCTACTTCTGTGTGATAGTTTTACTACTATAGTTTTGCAGACTTCCATGAAGTCCTTTATTTAATGGCAGTCTTCCCAACCAGACTGTGGGCTCCATGATATGCAGATGGCATCTGTTGCGTTCATGCTGGTGTCCCCAGCTCACAGGCATTTCCCAACACATAACAGGCTCTACATAATTATTGTTAAGTGAATGGAAAGTCTGAGTGGATAAATTATAGCTGTATTCAAATTTTTGGATGGTGTTCATACAGAAGAGTGTGTTCTGTGTATATTAAAAGACAAGACTGGGGCCAAAGAATGGAATTGTAGAAAGATAGATTTCAGCTCCATGCAACATGGACATTTCTAATAACAAAAAGTTTTGAAATATGAAAAAGCTCTCTTCTTCCCAACCACTACCCAAATCCATATGATAATAAGAAGGTCCTAATCAGCATTAAAGAAGATATTAAATGACCCTTTGGCCAATTAATAACTAATCACTGAGTAAGAACTCAACTACAGGACCACTAAAGATACTTCCAGCTCTAAAATTATATTATCTTCACTGATATATAGAAAAAATCATAGAGAAACAGGGAGAAGCAAATAGAAGATAAGATTAAAAATTAAAATTTAAAACTAGAATATATAGCTGATGTCTGGCTTGCTTAGTCAGTAAAGCACCCATACTGGGTATAGAGATTACTTGAAATTAAGAATCTTAAAAAAAATAAGTAAAATTACAAAAATAAAAAAAACCCACTAGAATATATAAGACAGTCTCTAGTTCTCACTGGGCTCGAGGTTGACGGTTGTATCTACTTTTCCCCTGTGATCAACACCTCAGCTCTTGGGTGTTAAACTACCCCTCCTTTTATGTCCTCCTCTGTCCAAATGTACCTTTGTTGAGGTGACAACACTGGATTGTTCTGTGACTCTCTTAAGAGTCGTATAGCATAACATTTTCCACTTTGATTTTTCTCTCCATTCTCTTCCCCTTAGTAAGACTAACACTAGTAAACTCACCTGGGCCCTCCAGAGCTCATCCCGCTCATGGGCCACCCGCCAGTGTGTATCACCCATCATGGCGATGAACAGGTTGAGCATGAGCAGCGTGGCAATGATGGTGAAGGCAAAGTAGACAATGCCAAACATGAAGGGCAAGTTCACTTCGTAGTTGGCAGGCCCATCAATGACGGTGAGGAAAAGCTCAAAGGTGCTGAACAGTGCCATGGGATAGTCATAGAATTGCCCCAGGTTGGATGGGTCCTCTGTCTGGAAAATGACATAGAACGCTGCTCCGCCCAGGAAGGGGGCATGGAGATGGGAAAATAGGGAATTATCACAATAAGCATGGGCCCGGTTATATCTCCATACATTTACACACTTGCAGACACACATACACGCCCATAAATGTACATATATGACTGTGTACATGTAAGTCACACTTTATGTGTGGACCTGGTTAGCCTTAAGATGTCTTATGACCAAGTTCATTACTCTGGACAATGGTAACACCCAGCCATTTAGCAAAATGTGTACATAAAATGTGTGTATGTGTATTATATATATGATAGATATACACAAAATAAGTCACCTAACTGCTTTTCACATCTTAAAAAATCGAATATTTAAAAGATAATTTGTACATAAGAGACTCAAATATAGAGAACAAACAGAGGGTTGCTGGAGGGGTTGTGGGAGGGGGGATAGGCTAAATGAGTAATGGGCATTAAGGAATCTACTCCTGAAATCATTGTTGCACTATATGCTAACTAACTTGGATGTAAATTTAAAAATTAATTAATTAATTAATTAATTAAAAATAAATAAAAGGTAATTTGTTACAAGAATGCATGGAATCTCCAACAATTTTAAAGAACTGACCATATGAAATGGCCAAAAGAAAAGCACCTTTAAAAAAAAATCTCAGTGGCCCCTAGATGACCATCCATCGTTCTGAGGTTCCTGGGTGAGCTTGAATCGTCATGGAAAAGGTCTGTTCAGTGTGTAGCCTACTGGATGATACTAGGCATCCTGGAACATTAGTACAGCATTAGAACCTTTAAAAGACTTCTCTCTGTGTGGGGAACTGAAATATAAACTAAATGATCTCAAGAATGGAAATAGTATCTATGGCAAAACATCACTTTTTTATATACTGATGGAAAAGGTAAGCACAACAACAAACAAGAGACAATTTAGGAGATCCTGGGTATAGGACATCTACAGAAAACTACTCTGTCATTATGACTTCAATTGGCAGGTCATGATACTATGTACTATATAACATACATATACTATATATAACATATGCTTACTGAGTAACTATATGCACACATGTTGTGAGCAGTAATTCATGATGTGTGCAGATGGGGTAGAGGGTGAGGAGAAAGAATATGTAAGGAATACTCCAAACAGGCAAGACTACCACAGTTTTACCCTTTCATAGCTCAGATCTTGCGGTATTTTTTTTTTTTTTTTTTTTTTT